TTAGACGAGCTACACGGAGCATCTTACTTTTTCAAAGCTTGATCTAAAGAGCAGGTACCACCAAATACGCATGAGGCGGGAAAATGTCGAGAAAACGGCATTTCAGACGCACGAGGGGCACTATGAATTCTTAGTTATGCCCTTTGGGCTTACTAACGCTCCGGCTACTTTCCAGGCAATGATGACCGAGTTGTTCAAACCATTGCTTAGGAAATTTGTTTTGGTATTCTTGGATGACATTTTAGTTTACAGCCACAGTTCACAGAAGCATTTAGGCCATTTACGAACCATGTTGGGGTTGTTGAAGGATGGGAGTTTTGTGTTCAATTTGAAAAAATGTTTGTTTTTTCAGGATACCGTGGAATACTTGGGGCACTACATATCCCACGGGGGTGTGGCAGCAGACCCGGGAAAGATACGGGCCATGGTTGAGTGGCCCGTCCCAACCACAGTGAAAGGGGTGCGAGGCTTCTGGGTTTAACAGGATACTACCGTCGTTTTGTGAAGAGATACGGCGCCATAGCGCGGCCCTTGACTGAGTTGTTAAAAAGAGGGGAGTTCACTTGGTCAGAGGAGGCGCAGCGAGCATTTCAGGAACTTAAACGGCGGATGACGGAGACCCCAATCTTTGCATTACCCGATTTCAAGGACACCTTTGAGGTGGAGACGGAAGCATCAGGGGCAGGGATAGGGGCAGTCCTATTGCAACAAGGGCGACCGGTGGCCTACTACAGCAAGGGGCTGTCACCTAAGACAATGGCCAAGTCGGTTTACGAGAGGGAACTTATGTCCCTGGCTCTAACCATCCAGAAATGGAGAGCGTACCTTCTTGGCAGGAAGTTTGTGGTGCGCACCGATCAAAAGTCTCTTCGTTTCCTTTTGGAACAGCGAATTAGTACTCCAGCACAACAAAAGTGGCTGGTGAAGTTGATGGGGTTTGAGTTTGACATACACTACCGAGCAGGAAAAGAGAATATCGTGGCTGATGCGTTGTCTCGTCGAGGTGGTTGGGCACAAGGGGGAGAGCTCCTGGCTATCTCGGGGCCCCAATTTTTAGACATGGCGTTAGTGGAGCGCGAGATAGCCGCTGACGCCAAACTTTGCACCCTTAAGGAGCAGTTGAGCCGCGGAGGGGCACAAGAAAAACACTATGCTGTGGAGCGTGGGGTGTTGCTGCACCGGGGACGGATAGTCATTCCAGCGGGCTCCCAACTCTACTCCGATATAAGCGAATTAGCGCTAACGTGTATTGGCCGGGCATCGCAAGGGATGTGCAACGGTTTGTGGCTAAGTGCGGGTTACTACAGCCGCTGCCCATTCCCGAGGCAATGTGGGAGGATATTTCGATGGATTTTATCGAGGCTCTGCCTAAGTCCAATGGGTATGAGGTCATTTTTGTGGTGGTGGACCGCTTAACCAAATTCGCGCATTTCATCGCTCTCAGGCGGCCGTTCACTGCGAAGTTGGTAGCAGAGGTGTTTTGTCGGGAGGTGGTGCGCCTTAACGGCATACCTCGGAGTATAGTAAGCGATCGGGATAAGGTGTTCACTAGTCTTTTTTGGAGAGAGCTATTCTGCCTCCAACAGACAACCTTACGCATGAGTTCAGCATACCACCCTCAAATGGATGGGTAGACAGAAGTTCTTAATCGTTGCTTAGAGGCATATTTGAGGTGCTTCACCAGTGGCCAGCCTAGGCATTGGAGCAGGTGGTTGTGCTGGACGGAATATTGGTACAACACCAATTTCCACGGTGCTACTCGCATGACGCCCTTCCAAGCACTATATGGTCAGGTTCCCCCGACTTTGATACGCTATAGAGGGGGCAAGACCGCAGTGGGCTCAGTGGATATGCAGCTTTCAGAACGAGATGAGCAACTGAAACAGCTACGCTGCAACTTGGAGCGCGCTCAGGAACAAATGAAGCGCTATGCGGATCAGAAACGGGTGGAGCGGGAGTTTCAGGTGGGAGAGCTCGCTTGGCTGAAACTGCAACCTTATTGGCAAGGATCCGTGGTCAGGTGCCCCAGCAACAAGTTGGCCCCAAAATATCACGGTCCTTTTGAGGTGCTCGGCAAGGTAGGTCCAGTGGCATACAGGCTTCGGCTGCCAGAAGGTTCCAGGGTGCATCCAGTTTTCCATGTGTCTATGCTTAAAAAAGTGGTCGGCAGGCGTGCGGTTTCACAGGAACCGGTTGTTGTCGACATCACGACGGACATTCCCGAACCACTGTTTCCAGATACCGTGTTACAAGGGCATCTGAGGAAGCAAGGAGGGCAGTCCCTTAAGGAGGTGCTGGTGAAGTGGCAAGGTCTGACGAGTTGCAAGTCCGTTTCCCTACCTTCGACCTTGAGGACAAGGTCTCTTTTGAGGAGGGGAGTAATGTTACAACCGAGCCTAGGAGGAATAAATACTAATGGATATACTCTAGAGGAGCTTGCAACGTTTTCGGTTGGGGAAGGGATGCGAGTGCGTGAGTAGGTTGCTGAGCTGGCTTAGACGGTTAGGCTACTAGGGAATAGTGCCTAGAGAGTAGGGACGTTACAAGGGAGTGAGGGGAAGAGCGAGAGCATTACCGAACTAGAATAATTCTTACTGTTTGTATTCCTGGCCGAGCTGAGCTCGTGGATTTCCAGTGACAGATTAATGAAACGGATCCTTTGGTTGAGGTTCCTTCAGTAGTCTAGCTATGGTGTTGATCTGTGTTGCTTGTGTGTGTATTTTGTGCTGCAGGTACTCAGTGATCCAACACGCACCAACAAATAACTAGGGATCACCAATAGCATAATTAGTATAGAAAACAAAATATATAGTAAATAATAATACAAACAAAAAAAAATAGAAAAGTATAGAGAAAATAAAATGGGACTTATCTTAAAAGAAGGATAGCATGGTTGAGAAGATCCTGTAAAGTGGTGAATTTCAACTCAGAAAAGATAAACAACATATAAAAGGAAGGAAGGGTGAGTAAAAACCCTTCCATTCTTTTTATATCCGTACTTAGTGTAGGTCGCCGAGATAATGAAAACAAAGTAATAGGAGATAAATTTTACCAAAGAACCACATGTATATCACAATAATAACAAAATCCATCTTTACTTATGAAATTCTCATAAAGAGAGACATAATAATAGATTACTATTGAACTCTCATATGGAGAGACTGATAATGAAAAACTTAATAAAATAACTTCTGAAACATAGATTACTTGTAACTTTCATTAAAAAAGACTTTCAATAAATTTCTAGAAAAATCCATAATATAAATACCAATAATTGAAACATTTGTTGTGAATTGGCATATAAGAAGAAACGACACTACTTTATAACTCTCAAAAGGAAAGAATAGTTCCCAATTCCGATAATATAGTTTTTTTAGTACGGAGAGAATATTATTGATGAATAATGGAAAAGATAAGGTACAACAGGGGACAAGGAGTCCACCAAAGCATAACAGAACAAAAGAGGACTAGAAGCACAAAACTAAAGTAGGACTAAATCCTATCCTCTACGTAAATCTGAAAAGGAAAATGAATTGAAGCCTTCAACTTGAGATGACCACGGTAATTCCTCCCTAGCCAAATAGCCCAAGTGATGGAGAGTGTGCAATTAATCTCATTAATCATGTATATATAGCTATAAAAAAAGACAGTTTTAAAAAAATAAATAAATAAACAAACTTGGAGTCATTGGACCAACACGTAAACGAGAAGATACTAAAGAGGAATGACGTGGCAATAAAACATATTTTCATTTGAAAGGGAACTTGAAGAACCATTTGAATTTAAAAATCTTGAAGCCATTCCTATATAAAAAAATAGCAACCGTCCATAACCGTTCAAGCATAGCAGAAACCACAATAGGACACTCAGAGAGATGCTTTATTGGTAACTGCTCACCAGAAGAAAACTTATCAGAAGGGAAAACCGGAAAACCCAAATCGATGCGACGAGGATGAGTTTTGGGAACTCTGGAAGTCGTTTCTCTCAGGAGTCAAAGTGTCAAACAATAATCTCAACGAGCAGCACAAACCAAACTAACGCGGAAACAACACTTTAACCTAGTTCAATCAAATAATAATTTCCAATTTCTGCTTTGATTAACCAAATCAACTAATACATTAAACGAGCTAGAGAAAGAGAGTTACTGAAATGGAAGAAATTCAGTTGAGAATCATTATTCGCAGTCAAATCAAGAAAAAACGAACAGAATTCAGCAATTGAACAATCGAGCAAAACGCTACATATAGAAACGGATTAACAACAAAAGTGCATTTTATTTTTACCAAATAAAGGAAGAAAGATTACCGGAAATAGCGAAGCTCTATAAACCAATCGAATAAACAATCCAGATTCTTTAGAAATCATAACCGAACAGAAATTTGATGATCAAAAGAGTGCAGTGTACTTTGGATTCGTGTTCCTTAGAAGTTAGGATGAACGGTTGAATTTAGATGCATCTGGGTTCGGGTGTTGCCGTTGGCAATGCAAGTCTCGCAGCGCAACCCTGTGTCGCAGCCATTGTCCTTCAAACTAGTCTCCCCGATAGAGAGTCGATGGTGAGGCGACCGTCGGACAAACAACCGGTGAATCGGCAGAAGAAGGAACGCCTGTTGGGGAGATTGACGGGTTTACTTGTGTCTCTAAGGTTCCTTATTATTTTAACTAATCAAATCCTCTCTAGTTTCTTCAACCAATGAAATCCCGAACAATACCAAATACGTCAAGGCTTTTCAAATTCTCAAAGACGAAGAAGAAGGAAATTGAAACCGCCTAGTTTCCCTTTCATTTCGTGGCTTTCCCTTGGAGAATAAAGGCATACAATTTGAATAAATTGAAAAAAAAAAAAAAAAAAAAAAAAAAAAAAAACCCCTATTTCAGACTCAACCAAATTCAAATAAAACCCTAATTTTACTCTCCAAATACAAAAATAAACTTCATTTTTCCTTCCGCAGCTAAACAAAATAAGTAACTCCACAATCAGAATCCACACGCAACCATACCTGGACACCAGATTCGCAAGTTCCAATAACGGAATGCTCCGGAACCGTCTGCATGCTCAGCTTTTTCTTGAGAGGGTTCGACGACAGCGGTCGTGGCGGGAGTGGGCTCTTCAACTTGGCGGCGGAGATGGCCGGCGAGCGCTCCGGAATCGGGGGCAACGAGCTCGGATCCGACGGCGGAGCGTTATCCTTGGAGCCCCTTTGCTTCCGCGAAGGCCGGGCCTTGGCTGCGCTAGGGTGGGGCGAGGCCGGAGAGACTATCGTCGTCTCCCTCAAGATCGCATTTCTTGGCTGCATGAAGTGCTTCATGGCTGCGAGATCTAGAGAAACAAAGAGAGAAAAAACGGAGGAGAGCGAGAGAGAGGAGGAGAGAGAGACCGAGAGGGTTTTGGAATGGAAATGGAGGAGAACACAAAGGAACGAGAGAGAAGGGAAATGTAGCCGTTGGAGGAGGGAGACTGTGGGAGACATGAGAGATTGGAATTTTGGGGGAAAAACCTTTGCACGGGCTTTTTTTGCATCGATTGTACGTCTTGCTTTCTGCAGCCTCTCGTTGGGGACTTTTACCTTTGCGTTTGGGGGAGCAGGGGAATAAACGACTTCCTAAACAATGACGTACGTAATTTTCAACAAAAAAATAATAATAAAAATAAATGATGGCGTACATAAAGAAAGTGACCAAAGGAAAAATTGCACTTATCACCTCCAAAATCTAAATTCATGTAAAATGTAAATACTAGTTGAAGCCCACCTGCTATGCACGCGAGCAGTTATCTTGTGTGTTAAATTTTAATTATTGTATTGTTATTTAAAATATATACAAGGTTTGTTTATTTGTATCTAAATTTAAAAAAAATTTAGACTCAAGTTACCACTTTATTAAAATTCATGTTCTCTTATAAAATTTGAGTTTTAACTTGAGTTTAGGGTTAAAATCTGAGCTCAAGCTCCCCTTTAACTTAAGTTCTTAAACTCAAACTCAAGTTAATGAACAGTATTTTTTCTATATTAAAAATGTCATAACTTTTTCGTTTTAATTCCGATTGAGATGAATATTTTTTTATACATTCACAACGAAGAAACGAATAAAACCCCACACATATACCCTATTACAATTTTACATCATCATTGAGTTTTTATAAAAATACTATCTAAATACAAACTCAAGTTTTGACCCACCTAAACACAAACTCAAATTAGTTTCTCAACTCAATACACCTTAACTCAAATTAAGATCTGAACTCAAATCACCATAACTCAAAAATTGTAAATGAATAAGTCCAAAATCTCAAAAAGGAAAAAATGGAAAAAAAAATAAAGTTCTAAAGCAAGAAGAAAAAAAAAAGGTAAAAAGGACTAAAATGAAGAAATAAACAAGTTTTAAGACAAAAAGAACCAAAACAGGAAAAAATATAGTTTTAGGGAAAAAATAAATAAGGGGTAAAAAGAGGCTAAAATGAATAAATAAATAACTTAATTACACTGACAACCTAGATTATTGAGAGTTTAATGAGAATCAATATGTCATTGAATACATTAAAACAAAATTAACCATTTATATCTATCTATTTGTTATGAACCCATGTGTGTCCTCATGAGGATTTATCCTTATAGATTCAAAGGGTGCGTTTAGTTACAGTGTAAAAATGATAATGAAAATAAGAATGCTAATGATAATAAAATCGAATAAAAAAGAAAAGTGATGCATGTGTTTAGTTAATTTTTTTAATATACACATATATATATATGAACGATTTGTTACACCTAATTTCCTTTTAAAACAAACAATTTTTTTAAATGGAAAAAAACTTGCATCTTCTTCACATCGGCCAAAGAAGCACCATTTAAGTTATAAAATTAAAAAAAAAAACTAGAGAGGCCACCATGGATGATAACATCTAGCACCCATAAATCTACACCACCGTCGTCATCTCTACCACGGCTTCACTCCCACCAAATTTGTCAACACCCTTCAACATCGCTGAGGTCTTTGTGTCAAAGATCGAAGATCAAAGATCGTCATCGCCGGAAAGTTGTCGAGGAACTTCGATAAAGTAACGGCCACCTAACAGGGTCGTTGATAATTTCTGGGGAGGAGGTCGACGGAGAGGTTAAGTGTACTAGAGAGAGACTTGTCCTCACCTGGTTGCTTAGTTTTTTTTTTTTTTCTTTTGTTTTCAGATTGTCCTAATCTAGATCTAAAGGTTGTTGTTGGGTGGTGGGTGTAGGCAAGGACGATGATTTGGGCAAGGAGCTGCCGGAGGACACGAGAATCACGTTGGAAGAGGCGAGGGTTCAACGAGTAGAGTGGTGGAGATAGCTTACTGGAGCGATGACTGCGAGTCTACTAGCGTGGGTCGGAGGAGGTCGGCAGTGGGGGCAGAGGATGAGCAGGAGAGTGGTGGTGAACTGGTGTTTCAACTTTCAGAAAAAGGGAGGAATGATGATTCAATCATTTTAATGGAGAAGTCATTCTTGTAGAATGGTTATTCCTTGCGCAAAAACCAACCAAACATCATATTTGAGCTTTACTTCTTTCCATTCTATTCCTTTCCCTCCAACCAAACGTACTCTTAATTCCTTAAAATATATTATTTTTTGGGAATATTTCATATCGGTACCCTAGTGTTATAGCGTAATTGTCTTTTAGTACCTTGTGTTTTTAGTAATTTTAAATTGATACCTTAACATTTTAAAAAATTATTTTTTAGCACATTGAGTTCATTTTTTAAGATGTAAAATGTCAAATTTACCATCTCATTATTTTACCAAAAACTAATAAATTTAAAAAAAATTCTAAATTTTTTTTAATTTAAAGAATTATTTTTTTAATTTTTAAATGTTTAAAAAAATTTCAGAGTTTATCTAAATTTATTATTAATTTTTTGATTAATTAATAAAAAATAAATTTTACATTTTCTATTTTAAAAAAATAACATTAAAATATTTAAAAATAATTTTTTAAAATATTAATATACCAATTTAAATTATTAAAAAATAATTACGCCGTAACACATAATACAAATATAAATTTTCCCTCGTTCCCTTCGTTCTGTACCACTAATGTCAGCCCGTAATCCGTATGACGGGTAGCAATTCAGAAAAATTGGAAAAACGAAAAATTTGTGGCTGCTGGGATTCGAGCCCAGGTCTCCACGGCCACAACGTGGAATTCTTACCACTAAACTACAGCCACTTTATTGTCACATCTATATTTATTAATGGAATCACTACAATAGTACATGCTTTTTCCGTTATCCATGACGAATAATTCAACGGCTCAGCTTTGTTGGATTGACACTGGGGCCGTCAAATTTTTGCTAATTGAAGAAAAGTGACACATTGGATTGTTACCAGTTTCCTTATGTCGGGGCAGGTTTGAAGGGCGCATTTTTTTTTATTTATAATTTTAAATTTTCCTCTATAGGGGAAAGCTTGTTTGAAACTTTGATATACAGGGTGTAGTGGTGGAACTTTAGGCGGTGGATCTGTCTGAAGTTCAAAAATTTTTAGGCTCGGTGGGCAGATACCTATCGCCGTCCGTCCACCTAAATATCCCGGGCTCGGGCACAGGCAATCTGAGGAAAAAAGCATTCCCCGCAGCCCGTCGCCGGTGGGGGGGCCGTGATCGACGGCCGCTATTTTTATTTTTTTTTTAATTTTCCACCGTAACCCGAAGCCCGAATACCCAAAAAATTGCTAGTTTTTTAATTTTATGCCCGAACCGACCCGAACCCGATCTAATAATTTTTTGATCGTTAGCTTGATTTTTGCCCGAACTTTTGAATGCAACGGCTGTAGTTGCCCGACCCAACCCGTCGCCCGTTTTGTTCGACTCCAACGGCTCTATTTTTTACCGTTGCCCGAACCCGACCCGACCTGTTGAAATTTAGTTACCGTTGGAGCTGAATTTTTTAGGGGGAAAAAAAATTTCAAGCCAAAAAATTTCCTATAAATACCCTCCCTCCACTAACCATTTTTCTCACCCAAAAACTCTCATCCTCTCTTAATATCTCTCAAATATCTCTTAATCTCTCTCGATCTCTCTTAACCTCTCTCAAAGCGCTCTCGATCTCTTTTATTTTTCATAATGGATTCTTCCGGTTATGGTGGTGATATTCCCGATGATGTCCAATTCAACATTGAAGAAGGGCAATTTCCTATTAATGTTTTTCAAACGTAGGAATCGCAAACACCAGAAAGATTTGCTAAGGAAACTGCAAATTCGAGCCATGGTGGACGTACTAAAGGTCGTGGACCTCGTGGTCGTAATGGTGGTGGGCGTGGAGGAGAGGCAAGCGGAAGTGCTAGTACAAGTGTTGCAAGTTCTAAGAAGAAATGCAAGCGCACCTCAACAGTTTGGGAGCACTTCAACACATTCGAGGATGTCGACAATAACGGTAACAGTAAATACATGCTCAATGTAAATATTGTGGTGATAAATTACAAAGTAACATTATTCACGGCACAACACACTTGAGAAGACACTCTAAAAAGTGTCTTAAAAAGCAAGGAGGGGGACCCGATCTCCACTAAACACAATTATCATTTGACTGCCAAACCGGCGGTCTAACCACTTGGAAATACGATCCGCAAGTCGATCGTATGGAAATAACACAATTAGTAGCCACATTAGATCAACCACTTAGTTTTACCGAACAAAAGAATTGGCAGCGTTATATTAAAATTGCGCATAATCCTAATGCACCATTTTTTTTTCAAAAACTATTCTTAGGAAAGATGCATTAAAATTATATAAATAAGAAAGGGAAACATTAATCAACATTTTACACTCTACTAGTGGTTGCGTTGCGTTAACGGTATATATTTGGTCCGCCGTTACCAACAAAGATTATTTAGCTGTAACCGGACATTATTTTAAAGGTTTTGGTTTAGATAAGAGAATATTAGATTTTAAATGTGTTATAGGATCAAATACTGCCGATTTAATATATAATATAATTTTATCTGTCATTGATGAATATAGTTAAAGGGATAGAGTGATGGCTATAACATTAGATAATGCTACTGCAAATACTAAAGAAATATAACTTTTTGAAAAGGTTTTAAGTTTATTCTGTAATAATGATATATTTCACCAACGTTGTGCATGCCATGTAATTAATTTAATAGTAAAATCCGGTTTAAAATCAATGTCAGGTCATATTAAAAGAATTAGAGATAACATTGCATAGATTCAATGTAGTAATAAAAGAATACAATATTAGTTTAGGTATCTACAAGCATGTAATCAAAATCCTAGAGCATTAGCCTTAGATATGCCCGTAAGATCAAACTCCACTTATATAATGCTTGAACAATGCATCCCCTATAAAGATGCTATAACAAATTATGTTAGTGCAAAATTAGGATCATGATTTATAAACGAAACAGATTGGCAAAATTGCCGAACTCTTGTATAACTTTTTAGGTAAATTTCACGAAGTTACTTTAAAGCTTAGTGGAACATATTACTCAACATCACCATTAGTATTAGGAGAACTTTTAAGAATGACTATTTTATTTTCAGAATTTAGG